AGATTAAAGATACTATATATTTGAATTCATTTAGTTTTTAAGTATACTAAGTTTATTAATTTAGATAAGAGTTTGGTCTATAGATAAGAATATACAAAAAAATAGATTTGTTAGTAGTAAATACTGCTTCTGTTATATGATATATAAATCTAACTATTCTTTATAATATGTATATAAATTTTTATTACATATATTAATAAGTTTATAAGGTTTTCATCTTCTAATAGTAATAATATTCATGTGTAGATCTTCAAAAATTCAAACTTCTGTCTATATATGGTATATTTATTAAATTCTTGAGATAATTTGATATTTGGTTGACTATAATTTTTTTTAATTTACTTCTGCATCTACTTGTTTTTGACCTTTTTTTTTGACTTAAACCTAGTATATTCTAGGATACTAGTAATATACTTTTTTTTTTTATAGTACTTTACTTGACTATAGCTAATCTACAATTGATAGTTATTATTCTTTACTAAACTTTATTAGTAATCTTGCAATTAGAAATCTATTAAATAACTATTATATTAAAGACTTACAAGGTATTATAGAATATTCAGTACAGCATATTAAACTACTAGTTCAGAACCATACTTTTTAAAGATCAGATCAAACTTTTAATATCTCTAGAAATATTAAGTAATAATACTTATCAAATTATAGTCAACTCTCTCTAATCCGAACTTCTCTAATTTGAATACTATTAAATTCTCTCTAAACTGAACAAAGAACTCTAAAACATTTGTAAATTTTATTATAGAGTTCAGATTAGCTAATAATAACTCTTTGAGAACTGAACCTAAAAAATTTTTTACATATAAAAATTCTTAAAGAATATTTTTGACGAAATAGAGAGAGTTAACTGTATTAATAAAATAAATAACAATAACTGTTTATTAAAGCTTAGTAATTTATTTGTTTAGAATATAATTTAGGCCTACATATTAAAAAAATAATCACAAATCTATTAAAAATACTAATAAAAATATTATTACTAAATATTTCATCATATAATAACAATGTAGTAGTATTGTAATTCATATAATTATATAACAAAGTAAACAGAGTTATAAAAATAACTATATATGAGAAATTTTATGGAAGAGCATTAAGAGGACTAAATTTATTTTGGCTTTTTACTAGCTATGAATACATAAGTACTATGCTAGAAATAGTTTTTTCACTAATATTTGCTCTATTATTAGTGATTGTAAAACCAGTTTTTGAAAATGCCCTCTCACTAGAAACACTTGATGGTTTGATACTTAAATAATCCTATGCCATTCTACTAAGTACTGGGAATCTATATGATAATGATTCTTAAATTAATATTCCTTTATTTTCTTCCTTTTTATTATTATTTAAAAACTTTTTAAGAGGCTCTCTTTCGTATAATTCTAACTTATATTCTATTGTACCTATACATCTTCATTTGTTTGAAATTTTTCTAGAAAATAAAAAACTAGAATAGTTATTCTCAACAGTTTCAGCATTTGAAGATTCTGTAATACTATATTTAATTCCATTAGAAATAATCTTTTGCTGAATGTTATCAACAAATAATTCTGCATCACTTTCACTATATCTACTAACTTAAATTAAAACTGCTTTTAAGTGATCCAGCTTATACCTTAAATCAAGGATATAAGCAATTATTACATGGTCAATTATTACATCCCAATATTTTTCAAATTTTTTTTTCATTTTATAGATCATGTTGTTATTTCTAGTTTAATTAATATGTTAACAAATTTCTAATATAATTATTATTGCATTAGAGATTGAATTAAATTGTTCTTTAGAGAGAATTAAAGTAACCTTTTCAAATGGTTTAAGGAATTGGCAGAAAGATTCAAGAATTAAGAAGCTTTCATGATCTAAACAAGGAGGTATGAATAGGTTTTTTAAGCATATCTTAGAAATTGCTGAATGTAGATACAGATATCTTTTAAACATAGCTAATGTAGAATTTCAATGTGTATTTATTTCAAAAACAGGTTGCAAAAACTTTATTCCCAAAATTATACAATATGATTCTAATATCTCTAATCTACCACTACTCAAAGGATTAGCTAAATATTTCATAATATTATAAACTTGTTTTTGTAGTAGACAGATTTCTTTTAAGCCCTCTTTAACAATAAAGTTGAGAATATAATACATACATTCTTGAATAAAAAGAAATTTAAAATTTAAAATTTAAAATTAATAAAAAATTTTAAAATAATAATCAAACCTATTGATATTATATTCAGTAATTTATTTTGAAGCAACTGACTTATAGCTTTATTTGTAGTAGTGTTATCTATAGTGAGTACAAATATTTTTTCTTTAATAGAATACTTATCTAAGGTGTTTTTAATTACTGATAATATTTCTTTTACTGTTTGGCCTGATTGTTGAAAACTTAAAATTATATTGACTATTTTCCAATTGTCACTAACCTATGATCTTATAATGACAATGTAATGAAATTTATAAATAGTCAAATGCTATCTATCACATGTTAGTGATATTTGTTCAGAAGATTTGGCTAGAATATTTTTAATAAAATTGAATCTTAAATTAAATATATTTCTACTAATGTAGTATGATATTGTAGTTGGATATAGGACTTTGTATGACTTTGTAACATAATAAAGATTTCTAGCCATTTTATGGAATAATAGATTTTCAAGAATATTGAAGAACATTCCTGTTCTAACAATTAAGTCAACTATTAACTTATCTATTTCTTCTTTTGTAATCTACTAGAATATATTATTCTGAGTATTCATTAGTAGGGAATTAGGACACTTTACAATATGTTCTTTTAAATGTATTCTACTAGTATTTATTAAATATTTCTTTGTTTGACAATACAAGCATTGCCAAATATTTTGATTATTATATATTGTAGTTATCCAGTAATCCTTAGTATGATATGTATTACTAACAACTTCTGTTCTGATTTCATTTGGTATTGAGATACTAGAAATAATGTTATTAGAAGATGCTATTAAATTTTCTATTATCAAGTGTAAAGCAAAAAGCAATTCAAAAAAATAATAGAGCAAAGAAAAAAAGCAATATAAGATAAAAAGATAAAAAAGAAATATAAGAAGGTATAAAAAAAGGTATTAAAACAAGTATAATAAGGTTAAAAAGCAATTT